AAACAATATTAAATGAATTGTTTTGTTGTATCTCGAAACAAATAGGCAGCTTTTCCATGAAAGCACAAACAATTAACACTTCGTCCATTAATGATAATCGTATGGAAAGATGTTGGTAGTTTTTGAGTTTACTGCGTTAAGACAGACAGACAGGCAATTTATCATAGGTAGAGATATTGTATTCATGTTTTAATCAACATGTTACGTGAAATACGTCGCCGGAATAATTTTCAGAACTTCATTCCATAAGGTTTATTAAGTTTATTCATTACCACTTGATACTTTATTTAAATTGTAGCACTACAAAATCTGTGTAAATTTCTATTTATATATTTTAAAAATGATCTTCAAAGATACCGAAAAAAAAAAGTTATAAATAACACCAACCATCGGCTGGCGTAGTGCATGTTGCAACATTGCATATTATCAATCTTGTTGTTTTGTTACGAAGTTTCGTTGAAATCATATCAGACTCTGCATAAATTGGAATACGAAAGCATTCTCAAAAATATTCGTTCAAAAGCTACATGATTATTTTCAAATGTAGATTATTTTAATGGCACTGCAAATGTAATACAGATATCAGCAATTTCGAAAGACAAAATACAAGGGAGTGTTGAAAATTATCTACACGTAGAATCGCGAAAGTTAATTGCGTTATGAATGATTCTTCAATCAGAATCGAAATATGAAAAAGGTTAGCTCCTAAATGAAGTCGAGAAAAAGAATAACGCCGGCCTCAGAAAATCGATGCATGTGGAAGATTCAACAGTTAGTTTAATCTTCCTACTGAAGATGATCACTTGGTGATCGAAAGACGTGTCGAGGTGTTGAAAATAACGGTTTGGTGTTGGGATAAAACTTCAGTAATATTCATTACTATGCAAAAGGTTCCAAACACTTCATTAAAAGTAAATGGTAACAGATATGAATTAAAACATGTGAATAAGAGTGAAACTATACGTATACAACAGGTGTAGACGATGAATTGTAAATTTATTTCCATTTATACTTGTAAACATTTACATTAAGAAAGTTCAATGAAATGTATCCGAATCTACCGCCAATGAACCTCAAGAAATTTATACGAATGAAATGATTCTGATGACAAATTTTTAGTGACGTTAATATCCCTAAGATGATCATCAGTAATAGCTTCCCAAATAACTATCCCATAGTTTATATGGGATTTTACTAGACTGAAACATAATGTTAGTAACTGTGCTATATCAAAAATATTTTTGAACAAATTAAATGTGTTTAGTAGAGACATTAGAGACCTACAATTTATAAAAATTAGTTCAAATATTTTTTTAATAACCCAAAACTTTAGGTTTTTCACTTTAAAACTGACGAAATTCAACACAATCTTTGAACCCCTATTCTTCCCCCTTAGGGGTGGAAATTCCTGATTCCATTTCTTGATGCTTATTTACGCTATACAAAGAACCTACCTGCATATTTCAAGATTCTATGTTCAGTAGCTTCGGCTCTACGGTTTCACTACTACTACGTGTTTTACTGTTTCACGCCTGATCAGCCCAACAGATTCAGATGTATGTTGGTATATAGATAGATAATAACCTGGAATAACACATAGGGTAGGTTCCCACGATAACGGGAGTGAAACAGCAGGGAACAACTAGTATTCATGTCGGAATTCTAAACAATCATATACAAATAGAATAATCTCAAAAAAATCATAGTAGACAGATTTGACGAGGTGAGACACCCAATAGTGTCTTCCATAAAAAATTATTTCATTACTTTTTTGTATTGTTCAATACTGATATTTGTTCTATCAGTGTAACCCGGCAGATGGTTAGGTTAGGTTCTACACCATTGGGGGTTTCTAGATATTAGCAGATATGGATAGTTTTCTTTGTATGCTCTAGAGAGTTGCATGAAAATAGACATTTCAATTTTCGCTAGATGCTGTAGCTTTCGAGTTATTTGCAAACAATGGACTTTTGGAGAACCCAATCTCCATCTTTCAATAATTTTACTGTGTGGCTCAAAGCACCTCACTCTACATTTATAACAATTTTGGCTTCTACAGTATTCATAAAAGTGATCTGTCATTCGTTGATTGAACAATTTGAGCGGTACTGTTTTGTATTATTTTGTTTACATACCATTTTCCCATATACAATTTCCCATATGAGTTCCATTGGGTTAAACATGTAGTATGAAAGAAAACATAGAACCTTGTTTTCATATTGCTTCGATGAATTATCCACTATGTATGTATTTAAGCTACTTTTATGAAACCAAACAGCAAAATAAAAAAATGGTACAAGCCCTTATAGAAGTTCCATAACTTCACTTTTAATAATCGAAGTCGAAAATTTTATTTTTTCTGTATAAGTGAAGGAAACCTCTTGTACTGGTATAGCAAATAATGTGGAACAATAACAAATTGAGAAATAAACAATATTCTAATTAGAACACCTAATACGTGCCAGGACAGCTCTTTTCGATGTATGCCGATCTTATGTTATTAAAACATTATGTAACATTATGTAACATTGAGATAGGGAAGGATTACGACGAGGATCATGTAATTGAAACAAGGTAGATCAATTTGAGTTATTCTGAATAGAGGAAGTTTTTCTACGAAGTCGTTTCATTCCGTTCCTTATAAATGAACCTGATTATTACACTCTGATGAACAGCATTAGAGTGACGTCTTTCGCAATAATTGTCTTTCGAGCAATTTCTGGGGTTATATAAACGTAAACGGACCTTAATATCTTCTATAAAAGATATAAATTGAAATGAAGATTTTCAATGAAAATATAATACTACGAGTACCCTTAGGCCAATATATATGAAACGAATATAAAAAATGTGTGCGTCTCGGGACGTCCGAAAGTTGAACTATTCAATATTAAAATTGTTTAATTTGAGAAAAGCTTAGGTTATTACTCAAATTTCGTGTATATTAAAATGATGATGTGAAGCAAGGTTATTTATTAATAAAATCTTTCACTGATTATTTTGCGTATGTACGTATATTATAGCTACCATAATTCAATTGTTACTTTTGTAGGATCAAATAATGATACTAATAAGGTGCGCACACAAAATTTCACATAGGCAATGAAAGAATATTACGTGCTTGCTGGTTAGATTTTTATAATACTATCAACAGTTTATATCTAACGAACACTAAACACTGAGAGTCTGTCCGACAAGAGAGGAGGAGCCTGCCTTCCGCTGACTTATGCCTGAGATAAAGGGAAGTCAGACATACTGGCGCCGTTACGCGTTAGGTAACGAAGCTATTTAGCCTGTCATGGGAAGTTATCATTTCAAAAAGCACACAGGATGGAATATTCTGTTTTTCCATTAACCAGCTGTCGCACCCCTACGAACGACAACCCTCAGAAGTCGAAACTTGCGCGAGCTAAGGATTAACGAGGTCTTACCTTTTAACGTGTGATTCCTAACACGGGTTGGACGGTAGCAAGTGAAGATCGATCGTTCAGACTAGGGATTGAACCACCGACCAACACGGCAGTCAATTCGAGTGAATGAACAAAGCACCCACGCCGAACCGCTTGGCTACCGACTGACACATTAAAAAATAATCGTGTCAGACTATAAAATATGGGTGAGTTGAACTATTCTCAGAAAATAGTTTCGAAGAGGTGTTATCATGATATTCCATATCCGATGGTTTGGGTCCATGAGATATCGACCTTCGTACGTCATATATCAGTTTCTTGAAATTGATCAGCATGCGCCTTGTGTGAGTCCGTGCCAGTTTGAACCTAGTTGTATATGAAAAAAATTGTATTTTTTGTAATGAAAACAATTTTTTACTGATATACTGGTTACTTCTGATACTGATACTGAACTGATACTGATACTGATACTGAACTGATATACAGTTACTTCCAAAGTAACTGTTGTTGAAATATATGGATTGAAAGGATTTGCCGCACTCTATAATGAATCTTCATTCAATAAGAATGATAGAGTGATAATATTCATAAAAAATGAACTCGATTATGATCAATCAAATATCAGTTTAGGTAACATGATAAAATTCGATAACAAAAAGATGATATTCATGATTTTGATGAATACCTTTTCGACTATTTACAAACTGTTGATCCGAATGATATCCATGTTATATATTCCAGATACAACATCCATGTTATAACTGGCGATATAAACATAGATGTGTTTTCAGAAAATGATTACATTGAAGATTATAAAAACAACTTGGAATCTTATATAAATGATATCACTAGACCAGATACCTCTACATGCCTCGACCATTTCGTTGTAAAAACAAATATAGAAATACACGACCGTATAAAGTCCTTTATCTTTCAAGATGAAATAACCGACCACCGACCAATTCCTTTGGCAATAGATATGGGCGAGAGAGTTGCCAACGAAATACCCAAAAATAAAGAAGTGTACATTAATTACAAAAGGTTGAAATTAGCGCTACAAACTGAAAAATGGACAAACATCTATGAACAAAATGATGTCCACTCAAAATGTGAATTCTTCATCAACAGACAGAAATATCATGTGAACAATAACATTAGGGTTGTCAACGTCAATATGGAAAAAATGTCAATAAATTATTAATTGAAAACTCCAACGATCAACAACTCAAACAAATATACAATGATTACAAACGTAACTTGAATAAACTTACAGAAAAAGCAAAGAAACAATAAAAATAGTAACAAATCAAGAGGGCTTTGGGATAGTATGAATGAAATCTGCAATAAAACTCGCCACAAAACAAAAATAACTGAAATTGTATTGAGTAATGGTGACATAACGAAAAATAAACAGATAATTTCTAATGAATTCAATTAATTCAAACATTTTGAAAACGGGTATTATCAAACCGATTTTCAACACTATCCTATCGAACATAACAAATGTCCCTCGTAGTGTTTCTCTTTCGAGTAAGTTTTATCGAACTAACCTGTCGCAAATTATTTTTTTCGTGTTGATGTTCATTTATGTATAACATTCAGGATCGTAGACATTCCGTTTAGTTCTGATGATAAAGAATATAGTTCATTTGATTGCGAATTTTCGGCAGATATTGTTCATTTCGACGAATATTTAAGAAAATCGTACTGTTACTCAAGCTATCCAGAAAAATATATCTTCGTGAATCTTCAATTTTTGTATATTTCACTGATGTTCGTCTGATAAGCTGGATAGAAAATGGCCACTAGGAACTATGCCAGTGGAAGGAGGATTTTTCAATACCTTGCTTCAGTTACAGGTCAGTATAAAACCCGAGGATGATTGTGGATACTAACAATCGAAACGTCGTGATCGGCTTGAACGCGGCTTGAAATGTTTTGATTTTCATTTCGTTTTGTTATTAAATTTTTCAATTTCGTGCTTGTATTTTATTATATTGCTCGATATAATTGTTATTTTCAGCTATTCATTTTAATTTTCGATTGTATTGATTCCGTTTTATATCATATTAGACAATGGGAGTCCGAAATAATGAAATTCAATATAAAAAATTTCCAGACTGAAATTGATTGCGAAGTGTTTTCAGACGGAAAAAAGTTCCTTGAATTTAATCTGGAAAGTAATCAGTGAATTGTGATTCATATCCTTTTTTTAAATAGAAGAGTTGTGGTGAATGAAATTTCTTTAAGTTTGTATCTCAAATGAAAATTAAGCGTGGAATATTTATTCCAGAAAATGTTATGATAGCCGTATTTTTCAATTTCCTTCATTATTGGAAAGTGTAACTTCTCTGCACTGAAGTGCCATCACGTTTGCCAAATATTCATTGAATAATTCCAATACGCATGTTTTTCGATATATTGAAAATAGTATAATAGTTTTGAATTGAAAGGGTTATTTTTTTGAGTGACCAATTTTTTGGGAAAGAGTTTTTGGCTTTCTACTACTCCATCTTGATACAAAAAAATGTGGGAACCTTCCAAAGAAAGGAAGGAAGTAATCAATTTTAAAATAAAAAAAAACTAATCAATACAGTTTATTGTACGATTTTCACTATAAGGGTTTTACATAAGCATAGGCATAAGCATTATGCTTGAAGAAGCTATTGTAAAGCGAAACGCGTGTCGCGGTTTTTGTAAAACTCTTATAGTGAAAATCATACAATAAACTGTATTGATTAGTTTTTTAATATAGATTTTCATCAAGTATCGGCCAGTTTTATTCAATAATTTTAAAATGAGTAACTCTTTACATGGATGTGTAGATCATGCAAAGAAGTGACTTTCAGACACAAACTGTAAGAAAAAGCCCTCCTGAAATAACTACTTTCATATAAACATTAGATTACATGAAAGAAAAAATTCTGTAGAAACAAATACTTTTATATGAACACTGAATTATACAGTTTGTATTCCAAACATTTTATATTTTCTATAATGTTATTCAGATTGGTACTGAAGAGCTCTAAGGCAAGTGTCTTATGACGAAACATCGATGTCTACCAGTGAGGATGACAGTGTTCCATGTGAGTGCAATTTCTTTCTATTCATTTAAAGTAGAACTCATGTGAATGATATCTGATTTTATTCCATAACGGATGTTTGGAATACAAACTGAGTAGAGAAAAGTATCTTCTGTATAATTCAGTGTTCATATAAAAGTATTTGTTTGTGTAATTTAATGTTGATATGAAAGTAGCTGTTTCAGAAGGGCTTTTTCTTCCAGTTTGTGTCCGAAAGTTACTTGTTTGCATGATCTACACATCCATGTTTAGAGTTACTTATTTTAAAATTGATTACTTCCTTCCTTTCTTTGGAAGATTCACACATTTTTTTGTATCAAGCTGTCGCACCCCTACGAACGACAACCCTCAGAAGTCGAAACTTGTGCGAGCTAAGGATTAACGAGGTTTTACCTTTTAACGTGTGATTCCTAACTGTGGGATAACTTGACTGAATCAGGACAAGATCTCGAAACATATTTATTCGAAGTTTCTGGGGGCGATTTGAGTTCAATAATGAGCAAACTCGATGGACTTCAACAAAATTTGGTAAGCCTTGAAGAGAAGCTTCTGGGAAATTCGAAAATCTTGGAAGATACAGTTCTAGAAAATTCTAAGAGTTTGGAAGACAAGCTTCTGGAAAATTCGAAAAATTTGAAAGATAAATTTTTAGAGAAATCAAATAGCTTGAAGGAAGAACTTCTACAAAATGAAGAAGGCTTGAAAAAACAACTTTGTGGTGTGGCGAGTCTACTCGAAGAAAGGATAGGAACCATCGGGACAGAGATAGATAAAATCAGGAAGGAAATGAACACAGAAGTAGAGTTAATCAAAGGCGGAGTTCAGGCAGAAAACAGCAAAATGAATGAAAGAATTAGCAATTTGCAAAACCAAATCGTTAATTCTGCCCACCCCACAGAAACGGTTACCGAAAACTCAATTCCGGAACTGAAAGATGTCAAAATCAGTTCTGAACCAGGTCCATGAAAACGCCTCAGTTCCCCAAGAAACCTCCTTGGGCAAATTACCACCGACAATTTGAAGCTGCGGCCAGAGCGAATGGATGGAACGCAGGAGAAAAGGCGGTAGCATTGAGATTGGCTTTGCGTGGAGAAGCAACGAATATTCTGCAAACCCTCACGGCCCAGGAACAGGAAGATTATGACCAACTTGTAAAGCATCTTGAGCTGCGGTATGGACAGGCCCACCAAGAGCACGTTTACCATTCACAGCTGAAGAACCGCTGCCAGAAATCAGGAGAATCCCTACAAGGGTTTGAAGCCGACATAGCTCGATTGCTTCGTCTGGCATATCCTGCTACACCGGAAAATGTAACGGAGCGGTTAGCGGTTCAGGCATTCTTGGATGGACTTCGCGATCAAGAAACGAGGCAGGCCTTGACGCTAGCTCATCCCAAACATCTCGTGGATGCACTGGCAAGTGCCCTGGAGTTTGAGGCTGCAAACAATCCTGCAAGAGCCAGGGCAAAGTTCGAGCTATCAAGGAAGATGGACAGGTGCCTGCCGATATTGAAGCCACCATCAGAAAGGTAATAAAAGAGGTGTTGCCTGAGAGAAAACAAATAAGATGTTGGAACTGTGGGAAAACTGGGCATGTCCGTAGCAAATGTCCAATATGCAAAGAACCAACAACAAATCAGGAAAATTAGAGGGGATCGATGAGAAGGGGCAAAAGTCGGCCGGTACTCAGCAAACCCCCGTAAAAAATGCATATGATGCCATTCTCCAACGACAAGACAAAGGCGATTTCGTAGACGGCATCATCAATAACGAGCCTTGCACCATGCTGTTAGATACAGGCGAGACGAGAATCATTCTTGGGCCAACCTTTGCCAAAACACCGGCAAGAATTGAACCGTCAAGTTGGAAGCTACGCACTGCAACAGGGGAGCCAGCCACTGTACTTGGAGAACTACTAATTGAATTGGTGTTGGACAGCACTAGATTGAACCATCGTGCATTGGTGGCGTACATCGAGGACGATATACTTATTGGAATGGACATAATTAATTCCAGAGGGTTTGAGCTGAATTTCCAAGACGGCGCGTCCTACGTGTCGGCGGAGAAGAGCTGGTGCTTCATGAAAGAAGCGAAAAGATGATCAGGGCCCTGTTGGCGGAAGATGTATGCGTACCTGAGAGGGCTGAAACCATCCTAGAGGCACGCTTGGACGGAAGTGTGAGCAGCGGAAAGGTGGTAATGTTCGAGCCCAAGATACATGACGAGAAAATTGGACAAGGAATCGCACTGAGGAAGACCCTGTTGCATGTTGATAAAGTTGTGCCGGTCAGGGTCATGAACGTCAACTACTTGCCCGTGACCTTGAAGAAGGAAACAATGCTGGGGCACTGTTCGTCCATTTTCTCTGTGATACGGAGTGTACGCAGTTCGGTTAGCCAAGCCAACAACTTGCCTAAAGAGTTGGAGAAGTTGATTGACATTTCCTCCAAGGACATACCATCAACTCACCGATCTAAATTGGGGGAGTTAGTCAAGAGGTACCAGGAAATCTTCGATATTGGAGAAGGAAAAAGCGGCAGAACGGATGTGGTTCAGCATAAAATCGACACGGGAAATGCCCGACCAATCCGGCAATCAGCTAGAAGACTCCCTCTTGCGAAGAAAGAAGAGGCAGAGAAGATAGTCAGCGATATGGAAAAAGAAGGAATCATCTAACCCTCCGACGGCACCTGGTCTTCCAAAGCCGTATTAGTGAAGAAGAAGGACGGCTCGACAAGGTTCTGCGTGTATTATCGCCAACTAAATAACGTGACAAAGAAAGACAGCTACCCTCTTCCAAGAATCGACGACATCCTAGACACGCTAGCCGGCTCCACAATTTTCCGACTTTGGATTTGAAGAGTGGATATTGACAAGTTGAATTGGCCCCAGAAGATCGAGAAAAGACAGCTTTCACCATCGGCTCAGGATTGTGGCAGTTCACGGGCCATTCGGGCTTTGTAATGCTCCAGCGACCTTCGAGAGATTGATGGAGATGGTTCTCAAAGGGCTCTCATAGAAGATGTGGTCGAAAAATCGTTCTAGGATCACTTGAAAAATCTGGGGGAGGTATTAATGCATCTGAGGGAATGCAACTTAGTCCCAAGAAATGCCATCTGTTCCGGAAAGAAGTCTGTTACCTTGGACACGTTGTCTCTGGGAAAGGAGTGGCGGTAGACGAACCAAAGGTCAAAACAGTTAAGGAATGGCCCATTCCACCAGCTTCGGAGCTTCCTTGGTTTGTGCTCCTACTACCGCAGATATGTGCTGGGGTTTGCCAATATCGCCAAACCATTGACCCGACTTACAGAAGGACAGATCCAGTTCCAGTGATCTGAGGAATGCCAAGACTCATTCAAGAAGTTGAAAAGGGCTTTGATCAATGCTTCTCTTTTGAGTTATCCCCTACAAGAATTTGACTTCGAAATAGAATATCGAGCTGGCACTTGCCATAAAAACGCAAATGCCCTGTCACGGAGACCAAGCCCCGATGACTGCTCACATTACCGACGAGTAGAAGAGGAGGAAGCAGCTATTTGTAGAACTACAGCTGTAGGCGACAACTGGGAGGAGAATAAGATCAAGAAAGACCAAGAGAAAGACCCAGATCTTGGTTCAGTCATCAGATGGAAGGAAAGTAATCGAAGACCACCGTGGCAGGAGGTAGCAGATTATTCGCCAGCGAGTGAGTCCTACTGGGCACAATGGAACTTCTTTACCTTGGAAAATGGGTTCTGAAGCGGGTGTTGGAGTCTGAAGACGGTGGAGAAGAAAGGTGCCAGACAGTGGTACCCAGGAACAGACGACGAGAGGTGCTCAACGAAATCCATGATGGAGTCACTGGAGGACATCTGGGAGTAAAGAAGACCCTCCAGAAAGTGTAACACAACGGTTTTACTGGGTTACTTGTCAAGCCGACGTCAAGGACTTGTGCAGAAAATGTGCAGTATGTGCTGCCAGTAACGGACCTCGGATACGACCGAAAGGTCCAATGCGCCAGTATAACTTGGGTAGTCTCTGTAAGATAATCGACATCGGCCAACCCGTTCCCAGAGTCCGATCATGGTAACAAATACATCTTGGTGGCCATGGACTACTTCAGTAAGTAGGCCTACGCCCTGCTCAACCAGGAAGCCTTTACCGTCGCTGACGTTCTGGTAAGGGAATGGATATGTCAATTCTGGGTCCCATTGGAGCTGCATTCAACCAGGGCAGAAATTTCGAGTCCAACTTGTTCCAAGAAATATGTAAACTGTTGGACATTCGAAAGACGAGAACCACAGCCTTACATCCACAGTCCGATGGAATGGTGGAACGAATGAATAATACCATAAACCGCCACTTGTCCAAGGTAGTCTCTGGCCTATTGTTCGGCAGTGCACGAGTTAACCGGTCAAACCCCTGCCAGTATTCTGATGGGCCGAGAGCTGCGGCTTCCTGGCGATCTGAAATTTGGGACACCGCCAGAACAAGACACTGCGGGGGAAGACTATTTCAGCAAGCTTTGGCAGAGAATGGACGACATCAATGAACGAGTCCGTCTGAACATCCGAAGTGCCAGCGATAGGATGAAGAAGGCCTATGACGTCAGGGCGAATGCTGGAGAATTTGAAACCGGTGACCTAGTTGCGGAACTCGTGGGAGGGTCCGTACAAAATCATGAAATAATTAATGACCTCATCTACCGAATCCATAAGCCACCTTGAGGAAAGCCTAGGGTCATCCATTTCAATAGATTGGCTCCTTATGCTGGAAATCACGACCAAGTTGGCGCCCTCAGACCACCAGTGGATGAAATGACGTTCCAGAAATTCATGTCCTCGAACGGACAAAAGCTTATACACGGGGTAGCTCAAGAAGAGCCACGAGACCTTTTCAAGGTTCCAGTTGATTTCGCACTAGTTCACTGCGTGCCAGAGGATCTCCATATATCCAGGGGTATCGCTGTGGTATTCACAAAAAAAAGCGTCAGCTTTAAACATTACAAGAACAGAATCCTGAAGTCGGAGGAGTGCTACAGTTAAAGAAGGGTCAGAGAAAATTGTGAGAAGCATATTAGAAACGGTCTTCATATCCAGCGGTGTGCGGTAACCATCTTCCACGACCAAGCATGAAGACTGTGGAGTGTTACTTCCATCGAACTTCACAGTGCAGATATGGGGAGTCCTGCAGGTATCAACACACGCCAATGATGACATTTCGGGGCGAAACGTCTTTAAGAAGGGGGCAATGTAACGAATCTGAAGCCGTCCCTGACCGATATCTCAGCCAGCGAATAAACACATGACATCACCGCGAAAGAATGCAGTCTGACTCGCCGGGAAAATACTAGGCGAGTACAGAGACCACTAGAGAAATCTAGAACGATCGTTACCGATATATAAGGCCTGCTTCCCGTCCAGAGATGGCAGTCAAATTTAGAAAGTGAATCGAACGGTTAAATGAAGAATTCAAATAGTGAAAATAAATCAAGTGCTAAGTGTTGTAAATAAATTAGTTTGCGATAGTGAAATATTGTTAAAAATGAATTTATTCAAGACAGTAATTTCTTCAATGTGTTACAATAATTTAACATCATGTTCCTCGAATATGACGGAATAGCGAAACCTCATTTTCGTTTTTTATAAAAACTGCTGCAACTTCATTTTTTTTCAATTCGTGGTACACAATTCAATATGTTCACTTTAAGCCTAAGCTATACTGATTTCGAAAAATATATCTCAAGTTGCTTCCTATCGATACGGGATGAGCAACAAAATTACCAGTTATTTATAAAGCACCCAATGAAGAATGGGTGAAATGATTGAAAAATGGAAGGCTATTACCACTTCTTCAACAAATTACTAATAAACACTCCGTATATTGTTGAGATTGTAGCTAAGCACTTCGGATATTGATCTTTGTCCTAAATAATTCAATAACTGAAGAAATACTCCATTGCAAAATTTTCACCTAACAACTTTCTCAGGAGAGTTTATACATTTATGAACGCCTGAGTAAGCTATTGTAAAGTGAAACACGTGTTGTAGTTTTGTGAACTGTTCAGGGAAATTCTCTCAATAAAGTGTCACTTGGATACGTTATGTTAGCGTGTGAACATATTTTCGTAAATCCAATCGAAAGTTACTGTTTTCTGCAAATGCCTTTGTCTGAAATGGAGAGAATTGAAATTTAAGTATTGAATACCGTAGCAGGATCATGTTATCTTTATCACTGTTCTCCTTTTTATGAGGTTATTTGAAATTTAAAGTTCAAACTCACAGATTTAACAATATTCGTTACCTGGTAGACCAAATCTTGTTTAGCGTTCACAGATCTAGATGGTGCAGGTACCTTCGTATTTGAACCACACCCGTACGAGTTATCCAACAACAGACAGATGAAAATTAACAACATGAATTTAAAAAAAATAATGTTTCTCGATGAGTGACTGGATGTAACTGATGTATAACGCAGGATTCGATACAGTATAAGTGTAAACTCTCTATGGCCCGGATCGATTACCGCAAGGCATTTGATACAACATAGCATGGACTCATCTTGCATTTGCTCAGATGCCTTGCGGTACCCGAGAAAATAGTGAGATGCCTTGAACAACTGATGTCACTCTGGTAGACTCGCTTCACCATAACATCTGGTCAAGCTAGAGTCCAGACAGAACAGACCACTTTCAGAAGCAGGGTATTTCAGGACGATTCCCTCAGTCTCATTCTTTTTTGCATCTCACTATTGCTATCATCCGTTGCGCTCAGGAATGCTCGAGAGTTATAACTAAGGCACCTCCGAAAACCAGAGGATGATGTATGGATGATCTTGAATTTCATCAGAGCAAAACGATATTTGTCGAAGATTATTCAGCTCCTGGCGAGACGAATATCGTCCGAAAAGAGGAGAGAAAACGAATAAAACAGAAATTTTATCTTCGAACACAACAGACCCTAACTAGACCACTGTGTCAAGATTGTCGTTTTGATTATTGGAGTTTTTGTTGAAGATGCCTTCTCTACTCTCGAATCTCAAGATTATGTTTGCTTGCCGCAATAAGGCACAAATCTTACTCTAATAAATGCAGAAGGCTGTCACTCTTGGCTCACTGCGCTTGTTACGGGCATATAGTCTAATCAACAACAACAACAACAACAAAATGTTTTCGAAGGATTTTGGTGCAGGTAAAAAATTGCAATTGTTATTAACAAAATAAGATTAAAAAGAATGGTATTTAGTTTTTAGTTAATAACTCAAAAAATATTATTAATATTCAAGCAATTTTGAAGCTCGTTAAAATTATATGGCACTTTTTTATACAGCGTGACTCACGGTCGAGGGTAGGTTAGACGTTTCTGGAAAACGCAAAGCATGATTTCTCTGAAAATGTCACCTCTCACATTTCCTTACCTGTTCTATCGATCTAAAATATTTTCAGCATTGCGGCGTTGCCACTTCCATCAAAAAGTACTAGCAACTTAATTTTTTTAAATGGAACACCCCGTATATTAATACATTTTTGGAATCGCTCTGACGAACTTTGTCTTTTGTTTTTCACCACTTCAAGTTGTTTTGACAATATTTCCATAAATAGTGCCACCATTTCGAATGTGGAAAAATTGGCTCCTACGCTGCGATTTTGAAGAGAAATTGTTTTATAAAAATGACTACATAAGAGTACGTATAGTTCAAGAAAACGATAAAGTGCAACCTACCTACCAACAGCTCCCCTTTAATAATATAGTTACGGAACTAACTAATTTCGTTATTCAATAATCATTTCTGATTATATAAGAATCACAATAACTATGAATCACAATAAGTATGATGAGCTGTTTTCTTGGGTTTCGCTCCGTGTTCTGTGTATTTTCTTCCCATAAGGATTATTTTCACAACGTTTCGGCAAAGTCTCATTTGCCATCTTCTGGTGATGTCTGAAGTTTTTCAACTAGACAACTAGTCTAGTTGATATATTATGTTCCATAATATCTGTTTCACTATCACTGTCGTCATTTAAATCAATAATGAATCTATTTCCACCATTATTATGGAAGTGTCCAATCTCCATATAGTATTTTTCAACAAAAATTACTTTTTTAATCCTTTTCTGCCAGTCTTCTTCGATAATATTAGATATTTCTTCTTTAATTACCTCTATTACATTCTTATAAAATTTTGGAAAATTATTTTTACGCCTGATGCTTTGTTTCAATTTTCCCCATGGTGATCGAAACACGTGTCGAGGTGTAAAAATAACGATTTGGTGTTGGAAAAAAACTCCAGTAATATTCAATGATAATGATACTGCAATCAAAGGTCTACCAGCCACGCATTTTTCCTCCCAAATTCAAAAATCAATGACTCCGCAACCCGTTAGCGAAATGAAAAGGAAGTTCATTGTATGGAAAATTGTAATATATTTCAAACGAAATATGACAAGATCCCCATTCTATTTGAAAAAACCCTCTCGGCGGCTAATGATGTCACACTATTGGCTTTTTTCCATCAGAAAGTACTGAAAATGATTTCATTTTACAAAAATGTTCTCTTGCTGAATCTAATTATTTCAATTGAACTATTTGTAGTTGGGACATCCCTTCCAACTCTGAATACTTATAATAATTGACTACCTGTTGAATTTAAAATATTTATCAACGAACGGTTACTATTTCACCGGATACAATGATATCGTTGGAGTATTGAACCCTCAACATCTCGGGGTTTACCTAACCATTTTCTCACGAGAGATGGTAAGTCAGAACAATTCATTTCGTGATTTATAATACGTGACTATTAATTACAAGAGCTAACTCTAAAGAAAGGGGTTAATTTCTTATTCTGTCATCTACAAGTTAGAACTGTTCATGATGATCTGAAAGTAATTACCGAAATTGAGGCCTATTTTTAGGCTGAAGACAAATCATATTATGAAAATTGTATGACCGCTATAATTGTTGTATCGCCCTCGAAGGCAACTATATTGAATCGTCAAGTCACATTTTAACATTTTCTATGTTAGCCTACGTTCTTTTCAGCCCAACTGTTACCAAATTTTTTATGTTTTTTCATCGTAATTGTACCTTTCTGGGTGTGCTATCATGCACATCATTCAATAAAATGAAAATATTGATGTAATATAACATTTTTTATTAATAAACATTTTTCCAGGAGCGCTGGCAACGATGAGTTCTGGAATCAACTCAAGCTGGACCTCTCCGTTCATCACTTACTTAACTTCCAACTCTTCTACGATTCCGATGACCACTAGCGAAGCTGGATGGTGTGCCGTATCACCTGCATTGGGGTGCTTACTAGGACCACCCATAGCTGCGTATCTTGCAGATAGAATAGGCCGGAAGAACACTGTACTCATCATGGCGCCTGTGGTCTTTTTTTCGCAACTCGGTATAGGTTTAGTAAGGAATGTTTGGCACCTGGCTCTACTGAGGTTGTTTATTGGTGCAGCAGATGGGGCCTGTTTCACAACTTTGCCAATGTACGTTGGGGAGATTTCATCGCCAGACATAAGAGGTTTCCTCTCTTCTCTCATTTGTCTGTCTTTCACTTTGGGAGTACTGCTGATCAATACTATCGGCTGCTTTTTCAGTATATTCACATGCAGCATTATTTGCGCAGCTGTACCCGCAGTACACTTCCTTGGATTCATTTTTATGCCAGAATCTCCTTATTATTACATCAAAGTGGGGAAATATAATGAAGCCAAAAAATCGTTGAAGATTTTTACGGGTTTAGCGGATGTCGATGAGGAGTTGAAGTCTCTCTCTGATGCGGTTCGAGTTCAGGAGGAAATAGTGAAAAATTCCAAATTCATGGACCTCTTTACAATACCTCGGATTCGAAAAGCAACTGCCATTTTCGTAATTATTGGTCTAGCCTTGAGAGCAAGTGCTAAGGCACCTCTTCTATCCTATACAAAAATGATCTTCGAGGAATCTGGAAGTGATATCAGTTCCTCACTTTCGACTATAGTGTATTGTTCTGTTGAATTTTTTGTTATGACTATCACAACGTATTTTGTAATCGACCGTTTTGGCAAGAAGATTATGTGCGTAATATCACTAAGTGGCTGTGGTATTACTCTATTTCTATTAGGTTTCTATTTTTTCGTGAAAGACTTCCACCATGATATATCTAGATATTTGAATTGGCTCCCCATAACAACTTTGACAGCCTACAGTGTTTTGTTCAATATGGGCTTGTCTTTCACTCAGGTGTGTTACTTGAGTGAATTGTTCCCTACAAACGTTAAAGCCAAAGCGCTTAGTTTTGCAGAAATTTCCACCGTTTTGACAAATGCAGTTACTGTGAAACTATTCCAGGTCATGAACGATGGATTTGGAACTTTATCGGGGTCGTTTTTTTGTTTTTCGATATTGTGTATGATTATGCTAGTTTTTGTTATTAAATATGTACCAGAGACGAAAGGTATGACCTTAGAAGAGGTACAGTTGTTCTTTACGGGTGAGAAATACAAAGAAAATGATGAAAACATAGAAGGAACACTTTTAAGAAATAATGACATAGAGTAATAGAAAATACTGAACTGAGAATATTAAGATATTTGTTGTTTTATTTGTTTAATTTTCATTTGCTAATCTAACATATACTATAGATCTGATATTTCATAAATATATAGCCAGAAGATATGTTCAGTTGGGATAACCGTTTTAATGAATTTGAAAAAAAAATTGAAAGATGAATTCTTATTCATTCAGTATTTATTTATTTACTTTATTTATTTATTTAACTGCAAAGCCAATTCACAAAAACATATTTAACAAAGTGTGAAGAATTACAAAGTACTTTTGAATGCTTATGTCTAATGCTTACATTACAATTTACACAATTTTACAAAACATTTAGCGAACTGTGTAATACAAAATATTAGTTTACCAAGAAAATGGTGAGATAAAGAAAAGCTTTGGAAACCCTATAGCCTTTTCAATTGATTTTTAAAGAATTTCGTTGAGTACCAAAGAGAAAAGCATAATCTTCTTTTGAACGTTCTCAATCAAATCGATATTTACATTATAGTATGGGTCCCATATAACCGAAAAATATTTAAGAATGGATCTTACTAAAGCACAATATAACATTTTTTTCGTTTTAATTGAAGAAACAGTAGAAATTTTCAACACAAAACTTAGAATTTTGAGACTTTTTGCAACAATTTCCGTTATTTGGAAATTAAAATTAATTTCGCTATAAAATTTAACTCCCAGATCGCAAATAAATGTTTCTCTTTTAAGAGTTATATGATTTTACACTTATCGATGTTTACCTCTAACAAATTATTTCTACATCTCATGGAAAAAGCTTCGAGATCTTGTTGAACACAAATGAGCAGAAGCTGGAAACTTTCACAAGTGATATGCATAAAAAACGGATTACGACTGGGACTAGTACTGTACTTGCGAAAGAGAGAGAGATAGAGAGCAGAAATTCTCAAGTCTCTTCCAAGATTTGACAAACTGTACCTCTTTTATGCTTGGTCAGAATTCGAAGGGATAATTTCTATACATTTCGATTTTATTTAGTTTCCAAATATACCTAGCATTTTCATAAAAAATCTATAATTCGAGAACGGTTACAGTTAAGTACCTAGTACCTCATATGGAATCATATTTTATTTTTGAAAGTGTAACGAAATACAGGGTGTTCCATTTTGAAACACAATCTTTGATATGTCACATTTTTTTGAGTCACCCTGTGGACTCCAAAATAATTTCCTTCTGCAGCCGCTATCATTATACATATAATGAAATGGAGAAATTCCCGAAAAAAAATGTTTTGGTTTACAGGGATCGTGTCGTATAGGGTGCGCTCCCCTGTGTTTTTATATTTTATGATTAAAATGTGCATCAAGTCCGTGTATATTTGGTTTGTCTCAAGGGTCATGAAGAATAAAGCACTAAAACACTTGCTTGAAGAGTGAATTTAATTAAAACTGACAAAATTGTGTTTGAAAATCAGCTGATAGCGAGTATCTGTTTATCAACAGTAACATCAAGAAATTACACGATCCAGCTCCGAAATTTAGAAAACTAACAACACACACACCAACATTGGAGGAAAACCAGGTATTTACTGATTTCCCTTTGAATAAAATATATGCATATATACAAGAAATTGTCAAAGAATAAAATAATAGGACAATTAAAAGAGATTTTGAATCCAGAAATTTCGTTTGCAAACAAATCACAGTGACCCTGAATAATAAACTGACATTTAGCAGACAAAGAGTGCGTTCCGATATTCATACAAAAATAGTTTGGTGTAGGTTTAGGACATTTTTAGAATTAAGTAATTTTCTCTTTTGCTAATTCATATATATTTTTGACTTCAACATTTGTACATTCATTATTAAAAATTGTTCTCCATTTTCTGAAATCAGTTGTGTCTTTTTGAAATTTCTTTACAGGTACATCTGCAAGTAAGATCAAATTTGGGTAAGTAATCGTTGTGTTTGTGCCTGAATCCACCTGAGGTGTTGGGAAAGATCTCTATACACTGAGGTATAGGATTTAAACTCAACATAAGAGTCAAGCCGAATCAGAATTTTCATTTCAAAAATAACAAAAATAATAATAACTAGAACTTTATTTACTTAACTCACATCAACATATCAACATCTTATAATAGTATATATCACTTGTACATCTGCCAGGCTTCTCATGACGGTTCACAAATTTTTTCACTACTACCTCAATATCAGTATCAAATGACAGGGCTTGACTAGTAGGATAGTAGTACTCTTTGAAATATTGACGTATCGAAAGAATTGGTAAACGGGGCCTTTTATTTAACTTGCCCTGTTTGTTTGGGTCAAATTTAGTAATTGAAATTTGTCCCCTTTCCTGTTGACAGATTGATCTGATATTTGGTACACACGTTTAGTTTTGATGACAATACAATTTGATGAATTATGTATCATTGTAAATCTAAGATGGCGGCAGCTACAAAATGTGGAACTATTTCACAACTACCTCAATATGGGTTTCAAATGACAGGGATTGACTAGTATGATAGAATTTGATTTGAAATCCCTGAAAGAACAAATACAATTGAAAATTAAAATGAATGGCTGAAAATAACTATTATAATAAGCAAAAACCCCGAAGTTAAATTAAAATAAAATTAAAAAATAGTCAAAAAATTTAAAGTGGAACAATAAAAATGAAATAAAATCAAGATATTTTATGCCAATGTACTTCACAAGTTTCAATTGTTAGTATCCATAATCATTTCCATTGATGACTGAACTATTTTTCTGAGAGACGGCTGACTATTGAACATTCGAGTGCTTCCACCGGTTTAGCAAGAGATGGCCGTTTGGCGGGAGTTGACCGTTTTCCGCTTGATTATGTGTTTCCATGTGTTGCGTATCTCTACGCTAACTTGGCTGAATGCGTAGTTGGACAATATATATGCAGCTTTTTTGACCTTCCTCTCAAACAAGTGTTTCTGTATATGGATGATCTCAGCTTGAGACCACTCGATGCTATGTTGATTGGTCCAAACATGTTCTGCTATTCCTGATTTGCTGGTTTCCCTGCTTTCCCTGTTTTTCCGGATCTGAAGCAGATTCTGATGTTGTACTTGGATCCAATTCTTTTAATCTTCTCCGACAATCATCTGATGTAGGGAAGTGCAACCAATGGTTGTGATGGTTTTTCTTCCTTGCGAGACCCTTGCTGCCTCTTAGCTAAAGTCTGTTCTACCATTACTTCAGAATAACCATTACTTCGAAGATCTTTTTCGATGATCAAACTAATGAACTGGGAAAATTCATTACAAATGGCGTTCACTCCTTTTCATTATTCGAAATCGAAGCAGAGATCTATGCGTACTTACTTGAAAAACGAAATTTCTGCGTCACAACCAAGGCGTGGATTCGAATTCTTGAGATCTGATTGCTATTGATAGAATTTTCATTTCTTTGAATGATTTTTAAACTACCTAATTTGATGGTCTGATGGTTTTTTTTTAGGAAATGGCGTGGTTTGTAGTGGAATTTACATCTCTGTCAGGTAAAGTTTGTTGTTGAGAAATCGAATTTCAATTTTACAGTTTTACTGGCTAACGTAACTGTTATTAGTTTGTTTCGAAAGTTTTGTCCGTTTTTATGATTTTACTCCAAACTAATGTCTCAGTGAATACTTATTCAATTTTATCGAAATAAGCGTCATTTCAATGAGTGAACTATAGGGAACGTAACACAAGTCGATGGATTCCGTCAGCATAAAAATTGTGTGTTTGGGATTCAATGAAGTCGACGAGGACCGTGTCTGCCTGGTCCTGATTGGCGAAAGTTCTACCGGTGAGAAAGTTATCGAAGTACTTGAAAAGATGGCAGTTGGTTATCGAAGATCTGGAGAGTATGGTGAGTAAGGCAGAACTTGACGCTCAATTCGTTCAATTTTAGGACGGTGATTTATGAAACGTGCGGACGAGCGTTGTCGTGGAGCAGAATCGGACCTCTTCTGTTGACCAGTGCACTCTACTGCTGATGCAATTTATGGTACATTTCGTCGATTTACTTATAATAGGACTCTTCTGTGATAATTTGACCCGATTGCAGAAAGTTGTCGTGAATCATGCCAGCCGTTCATCATCATACAGTAACCATGCTCGTTTTTTTAGCGGGTTTTCGTCTTTGAGAAGTGTCACGATCCGGTTCAAATAAGGATCGTTTTGGTTTCGCAAAAGCAAAAAAGAATAGGCATCAAAATGTGACACTTTCTGTGGATCGTTCAAATTGTAGGGCACCCTCTCTTAAAGGTTTTCGATCTTTCCAATATGTTTCAAACCATCAAAAACCCCGAATGGGACCTGACACCAGTTCTTTCGCCATCACATGCTCAATCTCCACCAGGATCCTCAAATCCTCGTCCTGGGTTACTGTAGGTCGACCACTTCGGGGCTCATCTTCGAGGCTAAAATTTACGGAACAAAATTTCCCAAACCAACAGTGACACTTTCATTGTCAAATGTCTATTTAATTTCTTGGTGCTATTTCGGCAGCGCTTTGGTTCATTTTGAGTTCGTACAGAAAAATCATATAGTATGAAGCTGAAAAGAGGCAAAAACTATAATCTAGAAAAAAAATAACAGCATCAGTGTATAGAGCACAACATTCTCTATCTATCAGTATACATCATGACACAGTAGAACTGAGATATGGATCTTCAAAAACAAATATTAAAACGGGCAAAACTTTTGAAACAACTTTTGGATTATTTTTTCGAGAATCTTGAAACATTTGCTTATATATCGTTCGTGAAATTAGACGATTCTTCATCCAAAAATTTCATGAAAGTTTCGAAAATTTGAGCCTATAGCGTAACCATTATAAAGGTCTTTATTGTGCTGGGAGTATTTCGGGTTCATTGTTTCTATGTTCATTGTTTCTATGAATTCACTGGTGTGGTTTCTTGATTGAGATGCAATAAAAATTGTGTCGATGAGGATGTTAGGTATATTGATGTATATGATATCTATAGTATAATTTCAAAATAGTAGGCACTAAATTTTTAATTTGCCTGAAGCTGTCTCTTG